CCCGCTCTGGGGTCAGGAGTAGCTCAGCAGTCTGCTCAAAGTCTGGCCAAAACGGTTGGGCTTAGCCTCACCCAAAAAAATTGGCAGGGGGAATGGTCTGAGGTATGGGATGAACATAGGATCAATAGATTTCAAACGGGACAGCGAGCCAGGGTACTGGTGCCACTGCCCGCTGGCTAGACGGCTAAATATTGTCGAAAAAAACTCAATCCTATAATAATATAAATTATTATTCACTGATCTCGCGAACATTAACAGAAATTTCCTGCTATTCATAATTTGCCCGTACTCATATAAATAAGAGGCCCCTGCGTAAGTGTAAAGGGCTAAATGTTATATTTTGTATAAGAGAGAGAGAGTCAGAGAGTGAGAGAGAGAGAGAGACAGACAGACAGACAGACAGACAGACAGACAGACAGAGAGAGAGACAGAGAGAGAGACAGAGAGAGAGAGAGAGAGAGAGAGAGAGAGAGAGAGAGAGAGAGAGAGAGAGAGAGAGAGACAGAGAGAGAGAGAGAGAGAGAGAGAGAGAGAGAGAGAGAGAGAGAGAGAGAGAGAGAGAGAGAGAGAGAGAGAGAGAGACAGAGACAGAGAGAGAGAGAGAGAGAGAGAGAGAGAGAGAGAGACAGAGACAGAGACAGAGAGAGAGAGAGAGAGAGAGAGAGAGAGAGAGAGAGAGAGAGACAGAGAGAGAGACAGAGAGAGAGAGAGAGAGAGAGAGAGAGAGAGAGAGAGAGAGAGAGAGAGAGAGAGAGAGAGAGAGAGAGAGAGAGAGAGAGAGAGAGAGAGAGAGAGAGAGAGAGAGAGAGAGAGAGAGAGAGAGAGAGAGAGAGAGAGAGAGAGAGAGAGAGAGAGAGAGAGAGAGAGAGAGAGAGAGAGAGAGACAGAGAGAGAGAGAGAGAGAGAGAGACAGAGAGAGAGAGAGAGAGAGAGAGAGAGAGAGAGAGAGAGAGAGAGAGAGAGAGAGACAGAGAGAGAGAGACAGAGAGACAGAGATAAATAGTGATACACAAAACACAGATAGAGAGACAGAAGTGACAGTAGATAAACAGATGGATATATGAATAGAATGACAGATGGATTGACAGACATAGATGATAAACAGGATAAATAAATTGATAAATGGATGCACAGATGAATGGATAAATAGGTGGATAGATAAATGAATGAATAGATCGATAGAGAGAATGTTGACTCAATAGATGGCAAGAGAGATAACCTAACCATCATTACCAACTCAAGGGGGCATTTCCCCCCCCCTCCCTCCCCCCAGTAACTGTCAATCCAAACTGTCAAATTGACACATTTTAAGTCTCAATAATGACAGGTGTCAAACAACTCAACATTGACAGGAGTCAAACAACTCAATATTGAAAGGTGTCAAACAACTCAATATTGACAGGTGTCAAACAACTCAACATTGACAGGTGTCAAACAACTCAACATTGACAGGTGTCAAACAACTCAACATTGACAGGTGTCAAGCAACTCAACAATGACAGGTGTCAAACAACTCAACATTGACAGGTGTCAAACAACTCAATATTGACAGGTGTCAAACAACTCAACAATGACAGGTGTCAAGCAACTCAACAATGACAGGTGTCAAGCAACTCAACAATGACAGGTGTCAAGCAACTCAACAATGACAGGTGTCAAACAACTCAACATTGACAGGTGTCAAACAACTCAACATTGACAGGTGTCAAGCAACTCAACAATGACAGGTGTCAAGCAACTCAACATTGACAGGTGTCAAGCAACTCAACAATGACAGGTGTCAAGCAACTCAACATTGACAGGTGTCAAGCAACTCAACAATGACAGGTGTCAAGCAACTCAACATTGACAGGTGTCAAGCAACTCAACAATGACAGGTGTCAAGCAACTCAACATTGACAGGTGTCAAGCAACTCAACATTGACAGGTGTCAAGCAACTCAACATTGACAGGTGTCAAGCAACTCAACATTGACAGGTGTCAAACAACTCAACATTGACAGGTGTCAAGCAACTCAACATTGACAGGTGTCAAACAACTCAACATTGACAGGTGTCAAGCAACTCAACATTGACAGGTGTCAAGCAACTCAACAATGACAGGTGTCAAGCAACTCAACATTGACAGGTGTCAAGCAACTCAACAATGATAGGTGTCAAACAACTCAACATTGACAGGTGTCAAACAACTCAACATTGACAGGTGTCAAGCAACTCAACATTGACAGGTGTCAAACAATTTCATAATTGCTACTGTTCCCATCTGTCTTAAATCTCCTTAAACACAAAAATATTATGATTTTTTTGTATAATTTAATAATAAACTCAAAATAAATAAACAAATTCAATTATACAATTACAATAATTTGCGAATTATTATAAATAAATAAAATTTGCGTTCAATTTAAGTTAAAAACAAAATTATTTTTTGTTAAAATATGTGAATTTTAACTAGAAAAAATGAGGGAATTCTTGGTAAAGACCCAATTAAAACCCCATAAAGACCCCATTAAGACCCCATTAAGACCCATTAGGACCCCATTAAGACCTCATAAAGACCCATTAAGATCCCATTAAGACTGCATTAAGACTGCATTAAGACCCCATTAAACCCATTAAGACCCCATTAAGAGCCCATTAAGACCCCATAAAGACCCCATAAAGACTCAATTAAGACCCATTAAGACCCCATAAAGACCCCATAAAGACCCCATTAAGACCCCATAAAGACTCCATTAAGACCCCATTAAGACCCCATAAAGACCCCATAAAGACCCCATTAAACCCATTAAGACCCATAAAGACCCCATAAAGACTCCATGCCCGAGGCCAGGCTTGACTTGTGAGAGTTTGGTCCACCAGGCTGTTGCTTGGAGCGGCCCGAGGCCAGGCTTGACTTGTGAGAGTTTGGTCCACCAGGCTGTTGCTTGGAGCGGCCCGCAGGCCAGGCTTGACTTGTGAGAGTTTGGTCCACCAGGCTGTTGCTTGGAGCGGCCCGAGGCCAGGCTTGACTTGTGAGAGTTTGGTCCGCAGGCCAGGCTTGACTTGTGAGAGCTTGGTCCACCAGGCTGTTGCTTGGAGCGGCTCGAGGCCAGGCTTGACTTGTGAGAGTTTGGTCCACCAGGCTGTTGCTTGGAGCGGCCCGCAGGCCAGGCTTGACTTGTGAGAGTTTGGTCCACCAGGCTGTTGCTTGGAGCGGCCCGCAGGCCAGGCTTGACTTGTGAGAGCTTGGTCCACCAGGCTGTTGCTTGGAGCGGCCCGCAGGCCAGGCTTGACTTGTGAGAGTTTGGTCCACCAGGCTGTTGCTTGGAGCGGCCCGAGGCCAGGCTTGACTTGTGAGAGTTTGGTCCACCAGGCTGTTGCTTGGAGCGGCCCGCAGGCCAGGCTTGACTTGTGAGAGTTTGGTCCACCAGGCTGTTGCTTGGAGCGGCCCGCAGGCCAGGCTTGACTTGTGAGAGTTTGGTCCACCAGGCTGTTGCTTGGAGCGGCCCGCAGGCCAGGCTTGACTTGTGAGAGCTTGGTCCACCAGGCTGTTGCTTGGAGCGGCCCGCAGGCCAGGCTTGACTTGTGAGAGTTTGGTCCACCAGGCTGTTGCTTGGAGCGGCCCGCAGGCCAGGCTTGACTTGTGAGAGTTTGGTCCACCAGGCTGTTGCTTGGAGCGGCCCGCAGGCCAGGCTTGACTTGTGAGAGCTTGGTCCACCAGGCTGTTGCTTGGAGCGGCCCGCAGGCCAGGCTTGACTTGTGAGAGCTTGGTCCACCAGGCTGTTGTTGCTTGGAGCGGCCCGCAGGCCAGGCTTGACTTGTGAGAGCTTGGTCCACCAGGCTGTTGCTTGGAGCGGCCCGAGGCCAGGCTTGACTTGTGAGAGTTTGGTCCACCAGGCTGTTGCTTGGAGCGGCCCGCAGGCCAGGCTCATGACTTGTGAGAGTATTTGGTCAAATTTATATCACCAGGCTGTTGCTTGGAGCGGCCCGCGGGGGTTGAGGAACCTTAAGTAGGGTTAAGGAATCACTTAATTCACTGCTCCATCCATCTGAAGCAGTGAAAGTATACAACCTTGGAGCAGTGAAGGTATACAACACTGAAGCAGTGAAGGTATACAACACTGAAGCAGTGAAAGGTATACAACACTGAAGCAGTGAAAGTATACAACACTGAAGCAGTGAAAGTATACAACACTGAAGCAGCAAAAGGTATACAACACTGAAGCAGTGAAAGTATACAACACTGAAGCAGTGAAAGTATACAACACTGAAGCAGTGAAAGGTATACAACACTGAAGCAGTGAAAGTATACAACACTGAAGCAGTGAAAGTATACAACACTGAAGCAGTGAAAGGTATACAACACTGAAGCAGTAAAAGGTATACAACACTGAAGCAGTGTAAGTATACAACACTGAAGCAGTGAAAGTATACAACACTGAAGCAGTGAAAGTATACAACACTGAAGCAGTGAAAGTATACAACACTGAAGCAGTGAAAGTATACAACACTGAAGCAGTGAAAGGTATACAACACTGAAGCAGTGAAGGTATACAACACTGAAGCAGTGAAAGTATACAACACTGAAGCAGTGAAAGTATACAACACTGAAGCAGTGAAAGTATACAACACTGAAGCAGTGAAAGTATACAACACTGAAGCAGTGAAGGTATACAACACTGAAGCAGTGAAAGTATACAACACTGAAAGTATACAACACTGAAGCAGTGAAAGTATACAACACTGAAAGTATACAACACTGAAGCAGTGAAAGTATACAACACTGAAGCAGTGAAAGTATACAACACTGAAGCAGTGAAAGTATACAACACTGAAGCAGTGAAGGTATACAACACTGAAGCAGTGAAAGTATACAACAATCTGGAGCTAGTGAGCCATCGACCTCATCAAGGACTCATGGGAACTAACAACCAAGATTACGAATTAGGCAATTGGGGAAAGACTGCATGCTTTCTTCAGTGACATAGGCCTATGTGTGGGTTTCATGATGGTATCACTTCATGGATACGTGTAGGGGTACGTGCCGGTGATACGTGGAGGTATACGTGCCGGGGTACGTGGAGGGATACGTGGAGGTATACGTGCCGGGGTACGTGCCAGGGTACGTGCCGGGGTACATGCCAGGGTACGTGCCAGGGTACGTGCCGGGGTACATGCCAGGGTACGTGCTGGGATACGTGCCGGGGTACGTGCCGGGATATGTGGAGGGATACGTGGAGGTATACGTGCCGGGGTACATGCCAGGGTACGTGCCGGGGTACATGCCAGGGTACGTGCCGGGGTACATGCCAGGGTACGTGCCAGGATACGTGGCGGGGTACGTGCCGGGGTACGTGCTGGGATACGTGCCGGGGTAGGTGCCGGGGTAGGTGCCGGGGTAGGTGCTTGGGTACGTGCCGGGGTACGTGCCGGGATACGTGTCGGGATACGTGCCGGGATACGTGCCGGGGTATGGGCCGGGATACGTGCCGGGGTACGTGCCGGGGTACGTGTCGGGGTACGTGGAGGTATACGTGGCGGGATACGTGCCGGAATACGTGCCGGGATACGTGCCAGGATACGTGCCGGGGTACGTGCCGGAATACGTGCCTGAGAATTGTTTCCGTATGTAACTTAAGGCAACAAACACATATTCTGTAGCTCTTGTATATAAATGGTCTAAGTCGTTCCATCGACCACACAACGGGCACCCGAAGGCCATCTTGCTCGCGGCAATGAAGGCTAGTTTCACTGACGAGTATTTTAGAATGCAACGTAATATCCCAAAACAATCATCTGTGGAAAGCTAATCTATCACAGACGAGACCACACCTGATAGTGTTTTTTTTAGCTGCGCCTAGTTCCAATAAGTCGCTTCTTAGTTCACTTCTGCTTATCTTTAAAGTTCTTTGAGTGCTACTTGGTTTGGTTCCAAACTCTCTCAGCTTTGTAACAGTTCTTTGCTCTATTATCAGAACCTCCTTGAGTCTCCGGTTTGATTCCATACACTTTTCTCTTATTTTCAGTGAACGAGTCCTTGTTTTATTTGCAATTTCTTTGTCAAATTGCCAATTTTGTTTCCTTTTTTCTGATGGTAGTAATTCTCAGGTCTCTGGTCCTTCAATCCGTTTTTTCAATATTTTCTTGAAAGTTTTGTTTCAGTTTTGCTAAGTCCAAAAGCTCTCATAAATCTTTAAACTATAAGTTCATATTATGTCCTGCACTCTTCTCAGGGCCATTTTTTTTTTTACTAATTCTTAGTATTTTTCTTGTGTTTGTGTCTGCGCTCACCTGTGCGTGCATGTGTGTGTGTGAACTCGCCGGGATGTGCTTGCAGGCTTGAGCACTAGTTCCTAGTCCTGTTCGCTCAATCAGAGCTAGGAGCTCAACTTCTAGCTCTGCTCAGCTCCTAGTCCTGCTCAGCTCCACCATCTACAAGAACGAGACTTGTAGGTATAACTTTGGAGTGTTGCAAGTTTAGTTTTATGTTTATTTAGGCAGGTTTGTCCTGCCAGGGTTGCAGACTCGCCAATGTGTCCAGTAGAGGCTTGTCTTGTATCAGGAGACCACAT